AGGAATAAGGCGATCATTGATAGAACAACAAGCATCGGATCGATTTGCCAAATCATGAAACTACCATATAGCATCAACTCATTAAGAGGGGTATGTTTATTTCAGCAGATATTAGCGCGCTACCCCGACCTCACCAACGATTCACCCAAGGCGGACGTAACATCGACGGCCGTTCGACATTTCAACGAGACGAAAGGTGCCCCTGTGGTACAAAAAGTGCACCGACTCTCCCCCGAGAAGATCGCGGTTGCAAAAGGAGAATTCGAGTATTTATTAGACCGAGGAGTTTGCCAACGCGCGAAGAGCCAATGGGCTAGTCCACTGCATATGGTGCAGAAAGCGAATGGAAAGTGACGGTCTTGCGGTGATTATAGGCGGTTGAATGCGAAAACCTTGCCAGACAATTATCCGGTCCGCCATATACAAGATTTCAGAGGGGACTTGTATGGAAAAACTATTTTTTCCGTAATTGACTGTAAGAAGACCTACCGCCAAATCCCTGTACACCCAGCCGACGCTTTTTCGAATTAAATATATGACGTTCGGAGTTAGGAACGCAGCACAGACGTTCCAGCGTTTCATTGATGAAACAGTAATGGGATTGCCGTTCGTTTTCCCCTACCTCGATGATGTCACCGTCGCCTCCACGTCACCGGAGCAGCACGAGACACATCTCCGGCAGCTTTTTGATCGCTACCGAGATAAGGGCTTAATCATCAACAGCGAAAAATGCCAACTCGGCCGGGAGGAGGTAGAGTTTCTGGGCCATCTAGTCTCATGCAAAGGCATTAAACCACTGCCTCAGAAAGTAAGAGGCATCATAGCATTGAAGAAACCGAAGGAAGTCCACGAACTGAGGAGATTTTTAGGGGCCGTCAACTTTTACAGACGTTTTTTACCGCACGCTGCCGCCATCGAAGCGCCACTACAGCGACTCAATTATTGCCTGGACAGTAGAGTCGACGGAGGCTTTCGAAAATCTTAAGAGGCAATTGGCGGAGGCTGCCTTATTGGCTTTCCGGATGAAGGGCGCGACAATCGCTCTCATGACCGTGCCGTTCTTCAGTAACGGGTGAACAATGTTTGGGCGCCGTTGGGATTCTACTCCCAGAAGTTTACACCAAGCGAGAAGCGGTATAGCACATATGACCGTGAGTTACTTGCCATACATAAATCTGTGCGCCATTTCCGTTATTTTATGGAAGGAACGATTTTCGCAATACTTACAGATCATAAGCCGCTCACGCATGCACTCGATCAAGAGTGGGAATAACTATCCCTACGGCAAACTCGCCAATTGAATTTTATTTGCCAGTTTTCGTCCGATATACGGCACATCAGCGGAGCTGAGAACCTTGTAGCCGACATGTTATCAAGAATCGAAATGTTTTCGCTACCATCGCCGATAGACTTGTAGCAGCTGTACGAAGAGCAGAATAGAAGCGACGAGTTGAGGAGGCTGTTAAATGGTCAGACCACTTCGTTACACCTGGTCAAAAGTCAGTTTCCGGGTACTAGCGCACAAATCATTTGCGATAACTCAACGGGGACACTTCGTCCATACGTTCCGGACGTTTTGCGACAGGTGGGGTCCCTGGGAAGCGTTTTGAACATGTTAATGTGGACATCGTCGGCCCGTATGCCCCTTCGCGCGGATACACATACTGCTTAGCCTGTGTCAACCCTTTTTCACGATGGTTGGAGGTTATCCCTATAGCGTACATGATCGCCGAGACAGTGGCAAGAGGGCTTTTAAACGGTTGGATAAGCCGGTTTGGTACGCCAAAGTACATTACTACTGATCAGGGGCGTCAGTTCGAAGGTGCGTTGTTTAAACAACTAGCCAAGCTATTAGGCGTCAAACACATCCATACAACCCATTACCACCCTCAAGCTAATGGGTTGGTAGAGAGATGGCATCGAGTGTTGAAAGCCGCCCTCATATGTCACGCTGCAGACGCGAACTGGGTCGACGTCCTACCCATTGTTCTTTTAGGCTTACGAACGGCCGTGAAAGAGGGCTTGGGCGTATCCGTAGCATAGATGCTTTACGAACAACCTATCCGGTTACCCAGCGACTTCCTGGAGGCCGACGACAACGCACCTGTAGATGAGCAGAGTTTCCTGCAGGATTTGCCACAACATTTCGAAATTGCTAGGCCAACGCCAACTTCACAGCATGAAAAGCATACCGTTCTCGTGCCAAAAGATCTAAGATTCTGCAGTCACGTATTTTTACGTGATGACACTATCCGCAAGCCATTGAAGTCGCCGTACGAGGGGGCGTACCTCGTAGTTAACAGGTACGCCAAGACGTACACAATATTGATTGGATCAAGACAAGTGACGGTGTCCATTGACATGCTTAAGCCGACTTACTTCCCCAGGGACGAGTTAGCAGCGATACATCACCAACATACATAGTTACCCTGTTTACATTTCTCCGGTGCTAGGTCTGGAAGGGGGTGGTGTAGGGACCAACCCTAACACTTGCCGCAGTAGTTAAGTGGCAACATCAAAAGGCGCAGTAAACGAACAGAGCTGTTTGACATTCGTTTGTACTAACTGAAATCAACTTCATTCATTCAACGTATTTTCTAGCGACGCTAACGTCAGAATTGTCTGTGTGTAAAATCAACTTGTATTTGTTTAATTTTTAAGTTAATAAAGACATATAGAAATAGTATTTCTATAAGGGTAGTCCGGGGAACTTTTTTATCATCTACGGAATGACTATTTTCTAGATACTTTTATAGAATTTTTTTAAATAACTACAATTTTAAAACTATTGCGCGTAAACTAATGAAAAAATAAAAACTGACTTGTAAAAAGTTCTTATTTAATATAAAAATAATTTTAAAAAGTTACATTCACACATACTATAATAAATACAGGGCTACCACGTATGACTGATTGAGGTGCCTGTGTGGACGTTATGCATTCGGCAAGTTGCGGGTAATCTAGTAACAGAATGCAAAAGGTTGCTTCATAACTATTACTGCCCCTTAGTTAGACAAACATTAAAGAATGTTCATACGTATTTTCATAGATATTAAAGATCATCGCAATTTTGGATTTTTGTCCAGCTAAATCATCACTTTTGCCTTATGCGTTGGGTGTTTTTCGGTGTTGCTGCATAGTGTGGCATAGGGGGAAGGGTGATCGCTACATATATACATACTTTTTAACATAGACTTTGCCTTTATAAAAAAAAATGTCGATACCCACTAACCAGTGTTGCCATTTTGGTGCTTTTGGAGCTAGATTTAGCTCTTTATTTTTCCATTTAGCTCCGAAAATTGGGCTTTTGCTCCTAGCTTTTTTTAGCTCTTTTCAAAATTATCTAGCACTTTTTAGCTCCAGAAAGTTTTAGTTGTGTTTGGTAATTGATTAAAATTACAAATCTGTAGGTTCATTGTACAAGTGTTGACTAAAATTTATTTGGCTTTGGCGATCTCAGGTTATTTTCGATACCTTCATATTATTCTATTTCCATTAGTACTTAGAAAACTTCCATTCCTAATACAAATGGCGCGCAAGCAAATGGAAACTGTGCAGGTAAGTCAATTACTGTATGCAACGTGCGCGGGAGCACACATACTATACTGGACAGTAATTCGAGCTCCGATAAGCTCAGACGGTGTATTTTCTCAGGCGGCCACGGTAAAAAGGGAAAGCCAAAGCTTAAGCATTGATAAAGTTACAAATTTCGAAATTTAATGGAAAAATATACATTTGTATTCACTGGAAAATACAGACCTCACCATAAACTCATGGATCTAGGTTAATTAATTGAAAAATTAAGTAATATTAAATAATTAATAATTCAAAAATTAATTTTACATCTAAGGAGAGAAGGAAGTTAAACTTTTCAGACAAATTTTGTGAAAAAATTATTCGTAAACCGAGTTTTTATGGTCATTTCAACCATTTGAAATTGCAAATCTTAACAGTTTATAAAGTCCTTTTAGTTCATTGTCTAGTTTATATAAGTATGTGCATGCATATGAGTGTTATAACGAATTCGAAATATATGCACCTTATTTTGGTCTTAAAAGTTTTTTTTAAGCACTTGAACTTATAAAATTCGTTGTTTTTATTAAAATTACAGAAAATGTAAAAACCACCTTACGTCAATAAATTTTCTACTTAAAAAAAATTACCTCTTCATTTTAGCTACTATTAGTATTATGTAGCTCTTTTTCGGCCGTTTTAGCTCCAAACGAATTTTTTTCTCTGGCAACACTGCCACTAACCCCTAAAATAGGCTTTAATGTGATTTTAGCCCCATTTCGGAATAAGTACAAAATTAATCCCTAAGCACATTTTCAGTTTAGACTCATTGCTGGCATTTAAGAGAAATTTTGAGCTTTGGTGTGTTTACAAGACTTAAAGTAGAATTTATTTACGTAAAACATGTTAATTCGTTATATCCGTTTTATATGTATTAATCCCACAGAAATGTTCTACGTCGTATTTTACATAAACCTGCTGTACACATCTTGTGTCGAAAAAGGATCACATGGTTTCCTACGTCAATTTCCCATAAGAATGTGTGTGGGGAAAACTTTGACCCTCTCAAATAAAACTCAGACACAGACATTTTTTCCGTCGTATTTTACATAAACCTGCTGTACACATCTTGTGTCGAAAAAGGATCACATGGTTTCCTACGTCAATTTCCCATAAGAATGTGTGTGGGGGAAACTTTGACCCTCTCAAATAAAACTCAGACACAGAGATTTTTTCCGTCGTATTTTACATAAAGCTGCTGAAAACATTGCATGACGTTGTCTAAAACCTTGTTATTTTGTTTGTGTTGCACAGGATTATTGGACCGGGGACAAGATGTGTTGCCACAACCTATTATATTAACATACCGGTCCAATGCATAGAAAGAATAGCCAATATATGCTCTTTTAGTAAACAATGCTATGCCGGAACTAGCTCTTGTAAAAGTCGATTATTGAAATAAATAAATAAGAAATCTTAATACGCACCTTTCTGTGATACACTGGAATCCGGTAATGAGGGCAGTTTATTTAGAAATTCCATAAGAGTATTAGTTTCGTCTTTATTTACACCTCTATCTTGAACTGACTCCGTGGCAATGCTGTTATCATTGTTGCTGCCAGCCGATGATTGTGTGTCAGTGGAGCCATTTTTATTTCCAAACCATCGACTAAATCGAGAGCTACCCATAATTTCATTAATGTTCCCATTTGAATTATCTCCTCGCTATAAACAAATAATTCATTAACGCTAAAAATTAAACCTTTAAAATTAAGTATTTATGCTAACCATGAGTGAATGCTTGAGTGGGTCAAGATTAGGGTTAAGAAAAACGTCGAAATTAAATTCGGTGTCTCTTGTATTAATTCGTGAGTTACTTGAAGCTTTTGGTGTTGTCCCTTCTTTTTCTAATAAGAAATCAGGAAGAGATCCCTCATTGGCTGTCTTTTTTCTTTGAGTTATCTCAGAACTATTATTGTTGCTATCACCACCCTCAAATGAAGAATTTTTCTCTTCTTCGTTAGGAGGATCAACATTTTCGGTATTACTGCTTGGTAAATTATTTTGAGACATTCTTGGGGTGCAATTAACTTCTTTATCCTGGTCAACTGATCCATGCAAATGTTCTTTCGACTTCGAGCTAGACAAATTCATTGTGCTGCTTGCGCGAGAGGACGAACATTCACTCATTTTTCTCGACGATGATGAAAAAGCTGATCGTTTATTATTACCAGGATTCCGACTGTTGCCGGCATTGTAATGATCGTCGATTTCCTCGAATCCTCGCAGCTCAATTGTATCATGTTGTGATGTTGGACCGCCACTAAACCATTCAGGCTCCTCATTCCTTTCGTTATACTGATGATTGCGCCGATTACGGTTATGTGATACAATATGCTGACTTGAAGACGACTCCGGTCCATATATGTCTTTCCTAGTTACACCGCTATGAGCACTGGGTGAGTTTGTGCTGATACCTTGCTCATATTTATCACGTATATTATCATCATTACCGCCGCCACGGTGATCAAACTGTCGGCGTTCTGTAAATCCATTACCCCCACCAGAAGTCCGATCATTAGTTCGTTCAGTATACCGTCCCCCTCGCGTCTGCCCTAAATGATTTGAAGCTGCTTCTTTATCTATTGTTGTAACCGAGTTCAATATTTGACTTTTATCTCTGTCTTGTGCAGTACGATAATCCCAACTGACGTCGCGAGGGAGCAAGCGACCGCTTCCAATTCGTCGCTCATGAGCAAGGCCAACACTATTGTGACTGTGTCTCGCAGAACCTGACGAAACCGGAGAAGATAAGCAGCCATTGCTTGACTGGAGCTCTTGATCTCGATCGCGGTCGTGTTCAGCTAAAAAAATATTTAAAATAAAAAATTAAAACATGTAACGACATCTTATGGGTTTAGGAAACAAATATATAAATAAATAAGAGCTTTTTTAAAAGAAAATAATAATACAGGCATGCGCTGAAAATTGTTTTCGAATGAATTTCCCGATTTCGATTTGAACTTTTTTCGAATATAAATCGAAGCAATTTGGCCTGTGCTAGAAATCGGAATCGATGGTTTTTTTTCCATTCTCAATTCGACCAGCTACTGGCGCGTGAAATTGTGTAAAGTTAAAAGAAAAACACAAAATATAAGTATTGTGGATAACTCAGAGAGAGGGGAGACCAGTATGTTTGCATGTATTTGTATAAAAATAAAATATATATTTATTGGACCAAAAAGTAGTGGGTAGGCACTGTGGCCAATGGTAATCAACTAATACCACCTCTGCATGATTGTAAGTCATGCAGAGTCCGCAAAAGACTCCGGAAGCAGTGTCCGTAGGATACATCAGACTAGGCCGAGCATCCTTTGAAGTTAGGGTTGCCAGACGTACTGCTTTTGGGAGTAAACGTACTCCTTTTTATTGCAATGTACTTCCTTGTACTCCCAAAAAAATATCTGGAAATGTACTCCTTTATTAGCTTTGCACTTCTTTTGTACTCCTTTTTCCAGCTATTAATATTTTATCATATACAGGGTGTAAAATAATATCTGTTGCATTTTTTTTTTTTTTATATAAATTATCCACAGATTTTACTTCAATTTTAATAATTTGTTTTTAAATTTCAACCTTCATTTGGGTTTACCGGCGGTAAACACTTTGAGAGAAAAGCGCAAGTAAAAAAAGTAGTTATTGTATAGTCTTTAAATTTGACCTTCATTTGGGTTTACCAGGGGGTTTGGGAGAAAAGCGCAAGTCTTCGTCCGTTACTTTATAACATATCTTCTGTAACCATAGGCTAATTTCCCCTATTTGGGTCCTTTATACTCCGTCTTTTGTCCAACATAAGGCCTATTACTCAGCAATCGAAAAGACTCGAAACTGGTGACTAGGAGGGCATTCATTCGACCAACCCTATACAAGTTTTTTGTTCTTCTTTTTATACAAAATCTAAGAAAAAAATACACCTGATAAAGAGGTTCGTGCCGCATGTACTTATCTCCCAAATCTGGTAAACGCAAATCAGGATTAAAATTTTAAAACCAATTAATAAAATTAAAGTAAAATATTTACAAAGTTAACAAAAAAAACAAAATCTATAAAGAACCCCTTTATTTTTCAAAAAACCTGTGCGGCAGTTATTATTTATTATTTTACGCACTGTACTTTGCCATTCATATTGTAACAAACACTACTTAGTAAGCAAAGTTAAGTGTGATAGTGAAAAGGTGTAAGCATGGCCTTAGGTGCAGGGCGCTCGGGTATAAAAATCGGAAAAATATTAAATTAATTATAAGGCTTAAATCAAAAAAAATTGCCATACATTCAGGAAGGAAGAGTACTTTTTAGTTTTTTAGTTGGGGAAGCTTTCCTATAAGGGCGGTCAATGAAAACCGAATTCTACGTAAAAATACTGTGGACGCAGGTGGAAATTGTGACTTTTGGCAATTTTTCTAAGGGGTCCCTGGGGAACCATAGGGCCCTAGGTCGTCAGGGTAACATTTTTGTCAATGGCGGTTCATGCCCTCTCCAAAAAAGTCGGGAAAGGTGCCACGTCCACTCCCCTTCGATCACCATCTCTTTAACAACCGTCCCTATTGGAAAGCCAACCCATATAGTTATTTATTTTTCACATTTATTGTTGCTTTGAAAAAGATTTCTAAGATATCTTTGTTTGTTTGAACCGAATTAATGGTAATTTGTAACAATAAATTGCACAAAAAATTAAAAAAAAAATTTTACTCTTTTTTTATGTCATGTACAGCTTTTTTTCTATCGAAAATATAAATGTACTCCTTTCTCCGTTTCAAAATCTGGCAACCCTATTTGAAGTGCCATCTAATTAAAACTTAAGAAAGTTCAATTACATGGCAGTTGAGAAGTGCATGTGAAAAAATTTTATAAATTGCATAAAGGAAATTTTTGCACATGCAGCAGTACAAAGCATGTATTTAGGCGCCTGGTGTAAGCAGACGCACCTAAGCATATTGTTTTCTTCTGTTAGTTAAATTCATAAAAGAAAAACATTAATCTGACCACAGTATTTTTGGGTAGAACTTCCTTCTGCTTAGGGTAGGAATTATAACCCTTACAAGTAGAATTCTCCTTTCTGTGTTGTCGGGTCACGCGTTTGGATACAACAACCCAATTATACAAATAACTAAACCGTACCCATAGTTTGATCTGCATATACAAATGTATATTTATACACTTACATTGATTCGGAGACGTCTAAAAGGTTGGAATGGTGGCAGGATTACGATAACCGGGGCGACAAATTTTGACCAGCGCTGCCGATAGAGGTATTTGAAGCAAGTATAACGGTACAACTTTTTTTGATGGCAAACGAAAACTGCAGGAGTTACCAAGGGTCAAATGTCAGATACAGAATTTTTTGTAACCCCAAATATCTCGAAAAGAAAGAGCTTGCGGCGAAGAAAATTGAGAATCAGCCTGAACTTCAGAGTTTCTGCGATGCTTGATCGGATGTCTAGCTTTAGTTTAGTAATTTTTATGTTGTTTTATGAATTTTGTATCTGTAATATGTTGATGGTCTCTTTAGTTTTCGTAAAGTTCAATTCTCTTTTTAGAAATCTCTCTAACTTGCTTTTGTTTGGTTGCCTGTATGTTGTTTGTTCTAATTTATGGCTGTTAAAAATAATTAGAATGTTTGTAGTCTAGCGATGTTAAATGTTTTATGTAGACGTCATAATGTTGAGTCCATCAGTTCATTTCAATGCATGAAGCCTTAACTCTGTTAAAATTGATGTTGTTAGATATGTTTTTGAATGTTCATCCATTAATGTAATTTGTGTTTCTGAAACTCGGTTTCTTAATGATGTAAGTGACGTAAGCTATAGTTTGAGAAATTATAATCTGATCCGAAATGACCGGTTAGGGAGAAGGGGTGAAGGTGTGGCTATATATTACAAGAGCCATTTAAATGCTAGGCTTGTATGTAAATCTAGAGGAAGTGGCGTTGAATTTTGTTGAATTGTTCAACTCGTCTGCAAAAGTTTTAGTTTCCTATGTATACAGCCCACGTAGGTCTAATTGTCTGTCATCTTTTTTCAAAGTTCTGTCGTCTTCGATCGTAGATTACATGAATATAATAATATGTGGGAATTCCAACATGAATCTGCTTTCTCGTGATTCATCTAATCTTACTGATGCTATAGACGGAGTTGATCTCTCTTTTGTTAGTACGACGGTACGTACTCGGTTTGAGAATAACTCTAACCCGAGCCTACTTGACTATTTCAATGTTTTTGACCCAACTATAGTTAAATTTTGACAAGTTATCGTTCATTTCAGACCATGATCTTATATTTTGTGCTGTTGATATTGATTTTGAGCGTCCTAGTAGCAGTAATACTTTTATGTTTAGGGACTATAAATAGGGTTCGAACGATACTATCGATATTGAGTAAGCATCGATACTGAGGGTATAAAAATTTGTACTCTAATACTCGATACCTTATTTGGTGATTTTACTCGATACTTTGCAAAGTACTCGTAGTATCGAATACTTTTTAAAAAACACACTTTTTAAATTTTGTATTCCATTGGCAACTCAATTTTCTTTGCTTATATGGATTACTATCATTCAATTTTGTCCATCACTTAAGATAAACTGAAATTTCGTGCAGTCTGTTGCATAACATAAACCAAAGAAGTGAAAGTTTAATAGCCTTATTCATAAAAAAAATAAGGTAGGTTTATAAACCTTTTATATTTTGTATGAATAAGGCCATAAAACTTTACACAAAGTTCACGAAAATGCAGAATTTTTAGAAACTTTTTGGGTATACAGTTTTCTAACCTATTCAACTTTACGTGTAGCCTACTACCGTTAACTTTTAATTCAAACATACACATTATTATACTAAAATTTAATAGGCTACAAAAACGCATACCCAAAGAGTTTACAAAAATTTCTTAATAAAATTTGAAATTTGTGAAAGTTTATATATATATATATATATATGTATGTATGCATGTACATTTATCGTTAAAATTACTTCCAACGTGAAAGTAAGTTCTGCAACAATGAAATATTTTAAATTTTTATTGTTTTAATTTCAGGAAATAACTAGATATACGATTGAAGAATAAAATTATTTTAGTATCTCAAAAAACGTATTTTAATGAGTCCGATACTGAGTAGTATCGATACTTTTTCCCTGATACTTCTAGAGTATCGATACCATGAACTCGATGCCAGAATGAGTACTCAGTATCGATACCAAAGTCTCAAATTTCGAAACCTAACTATAAATGATTGAATACTGACTCTCTGTTTTTACATATCTCATGTATAGACTGGAGTGATTGTTGGCGTCTTGTTAGTGTTAATGACAAGCTAAGTTTCCATAATGGTCAACTATTTAATGCTTTTAATTTGTATGTTCCTGTCCGTGTTAGTAAAAATATGTCGACGTCTTATCCGTGGTGTAACGAAAAGATACAAACAGTCCTAAAAGCCAGAAATAAATGGCACACGGCATGGAAAAGAAATCCCTCTAAACAGAATTGGTTATTATTTAAAATGCAAGAAATAAGGTTACATATACAATCAGAATGGAAAAGCTAAAGTTTTTTACCTCAAAATTAGACCACTAACTCTGATCCTTTGTTTTGTGGCGTAATATTAAAAATCTTCGTGTACGTGCGCGTAGTATATCTGAGTGTAAGTTAAACGTTGATGTCTTAAATAGTACTTTTATAAAATGTCCTTCTGTTGCCCATCAAGTTCAATTTGTTCCTCTTACCGCTGCTAAATTCGCAGGTCCCTTGTTTAAATTTGTCCCAGTCTCTGAATGAGATATCATTAGATGTGTTTTGAATATTACGTTTT